CACTCCTACAGCTCACATCCATCTGCTTGACAAAATCCACCACTATTTCTTCTTCCTGGTTCATTTACACCAACCTGCCCATCACTTCCTCATCTCCTCTGTTTCCTTCACCAACATGTCCATTCAGGTCTGCTCTGATCACCACTCTTTCCTCCCTGGTAATCCTTTTATTACTTCATCTCAGACCTTCCAAATGTAAATTTCTCCTATACCTTTCATCCAACATAGCATAATGACAACATTAAACATTAAGATCTTCTACTTCTACCTTCAGGCAGTCTTTTCACCTTTACTACATTCAGGGTCTCTGTTGAGATTCTCCTTTTAGCTTCATGTTAAAACATTCTATCTTACCAGATGTGCTCTCAAGATATTTTTCTGTTTTACTTTATGCCACTCAAACGTTTTCTACAAAATGCTGTGGGAAATCAGGATGTGGTTAGTCAAGAAGAGAGACAAAGCTGTTCTTCTGCAGTGGTTTGTAGCTTTCTTCAGCATATAGGGATGAACATGCTGGGCCAATTGGACAGACTGATTATCATTTTCTGCTTAACATTTTTCTGTGGAACGTGTAAAGGTAAGTTTATGTGTTTTTTTTATTCATGATACAAATACAAGAATAGTTTGGGTAAAAATTTGATTGGTGTTTTAACTTTTAACAGGCTAAAACAATATGATTGTTCATTGGATCAAAACATTTAACATTCACAAATATCAATATAATATAACAACATCCCTAAATGGGACATTAGATACAAACAGTAAAAACATAAAAAAAATATTGCAGAATAAATCACAACACAGGTAAATTCAGGCATAAAAAGCTAACTAATTGAAATTAACAAAACAAAAAAAATCATCATGTGAAGAGAAGGAAATGTGGAGGTGATTCCAAACGACATAAAAATAAAAGTTAACAAAGACATACATAATCTCAGACCTGATGTAGGAAAAAGTTGCCCTTTATTATCTGATTGAGCAAGCAGCTTGCTTGATTTCTGGTTTGTTTAACACAATGATGCAGCTTTTTTCCCACTGTGGGGTCTCTAAGCAAAGCAAGTTTTCTTTATAAAATATATTTCAGTAACAAGACAATTCAAAATGCTTTACATGATGAAAACATAAAAAAAACCATTCCGTTTGCATAACAGGGAAGTTAGTAAAAGTTGGACGACCATCTGAAAATAACAATGTTTCAGTTAATATTGTAAATAGAACAGGTCTTTTGTATTCTTTGTGAGGAAGTTGAGGAAACAGAACCTTTTCTTTTAAAATGGTTATTTGTTCACCTCTGTGTCAGACTGGTTGTTCTGTTCTATTTTCTCTCAAATTGCTTCTGATTAACCTGTTGGTTTTATGGTTTCCATTGCTCATTTGCTGATTGAGTGAACAACTAACAACAAGAAAGTCCCTCTAACTTAAAGGGGACCTAATATGCAAAATTCACTTTTTTCATTGTTTCCACCAGGCCCTCGGGAGCAGTRACAGACATGTGTTGACTTCCCYGGCACCAAGGCACCTGACTTTGGTCTGTCTTTGTCAAACCCTGTGGTGGATGTACTGCTCGCAGCCTGTTTACTACTGTTGTGTCATTAATGTGCATCTGCTTGTAGCAGCCATTTTCACATCTCCCAAGTGCTAATATAAACACCATGTTGGGAGGGCGGTGCTGACGTAAACAAAAGGTTGTCAGGGTGTTGCCAGCAGCACCTTTTTTGCATAAACAGCTCTTTCTGGAGAGCTCAGAATTGGCAGAACTGACCAGGTCAAATGTCATCATCTGAAAATGATTATGTGTATTAAATCTAATGAACATAGTTTGAATAGCCTATATGTATCCTAACTTATTCTATGAACCCATATTAGGTCCTCTTTAATAATATTTACCCTAGCATATCTCAGGAACTAATGCAGATATATTCCTGAAACCAAGCTCAACTTCTTCACCTCTTAAACTACACGGTAAATTGATTTTCTCACAATTTTTCAGCTAATTTGTGTTATGATTTGTTTTAAGATAGGTATAAAAAGAAATGAAAAAAGTATAATTAATTTTGATAATCTTCCTAATAATGTGCTTTTAAACCACTTTTTGTTGTAGAAATAAATGAAGGTACCTGTTTAAAAATAATTAAGTTTGAATGTTTTTATTTTGACATGCTGTATTTTTGCTATATAGACTTGTGTCCTGATGCATCTCAGTAATCCAGGTAAAAAATCAAAGGAAAAAAATTGTATAGGTC